ACTTTACCACGCTAGGTCATTGCACAATGTGAAGGCTAGTACTGCTGTCTATGTTTCCCACCTTCTCTCGCAGTGTAATAAAACTTCTAGTAGTGACTACCAAATCACTTACTTATCTGTTAGTTTTTAACATTTTATTTGGAAATAATTACAGATTCATAGGAAGTTGCAAAGATCATCGATCTTGCATACCATTTATCCAGGTTCCACCAAGAATTATATCTTACATAACTGTTGTACATTATAAAAAATTGACATGAGCATAATGTGAATATGTATAGTTCTATGCCACTTATCACCTATGTAGATTCCTATAAGCACCACAACGATCAAGATACAGAACGTTCCTACCACCACACAAATCTCCCTCGTGCTACCTCTTTATAGTGAAACTCACCCCAACCCTCCATTCAACATCTCTAACAATCAGTAATCTGTTCTGTATATTTATAGTTTCATCGTTTCAAGAATGTTATAAAAATGGAATCATATAGTATGTGATCTTTCGAGATAGGCTTTTTACATTCAGCATAATACTCATGGATAGTTAGACAATGTTTTTTTATCTACCCTGCAATCTCTGTCTTTTAATTGGTACATTTAGACCATTTGCATTTTATGTAATAATTGAAATTGTAGGGCTTAATTCTGCCATTTTAGTTTTCTTTTTGTCCTATTTTATGTTTCTCTCTTTCCTTTTTCATGTCTTTCTATGAGTTACTTGAATATTTCTTAGAACACATTTTGATTTATATATAGTGGTTTTTTTTGCAGATTTCATATATGATGGAATTTTTAGTGGTTTCTCTAAGTATCACATTATATACATATAGCTTCTCACAGTCTATTGGTATTGGCGTTTTGCCAGTTTAAGTGAAGTATAGAAACTTTACTTCTTTTATCCATTTTTCCTCCCTAGTTTATAATTGTGTTAAATAACTCCTCTACATATAATGAGAGCCACATCAGACAACACTATACTTCTTGTTTCAACCACCAACCATAAATTAGAAATTTATGGTTGAAACAACATATAGTGTATTTATCCATGATTTTACTCTTTCTGTTCTTTCTTCCTTCCTGATGTTGCAAGATTTCTTCTTTTATCATTTTCTTTGTAATTCAAGAACTCCCATTAGCCATTCTTTTAGGATAGGTTTGCTAGCAACAACTTTGCTTAGTTTTCCTTTATCTGAGAATGTTTTTATTTTTTCTTTATTCCTGAAAGATAATTTTGTTCAAATATTGTGCCACTGCCTTCTGGTCTTTGTGGCTTCTGATGAGAAATTTACTGTCATCTAAATTGTTTTTCCTCTATAAGCAAGGTATCATTTTTTTGTCATTGCTTTCAAGAATTTTTTTGTTTGATTTTAATTTCATTTTCTGAAATTAGAGTATGATATGCCTTGGGGTTTAACTCAGTTTCTTGAATCTAGAGATTTATGTCTTTTGCCAATTTTATGAAAATTGCAGCCATGATTTCTCTGAATGCTTTTTCAGCCTCACCATCTCTCTCCTCTTTTTCTGGAACTCCAGTGACATTGATGTTAGTCTTTTTACAGTCCAAATTGTCCCTTAGTTTCTATTTCTTTTTTTCCCCACTCTATTTTCTCTGTGTTGTTTGGATTGGGTAGTTTCTATCATTCTATCTTCAAGTTTGCTGATCCTTTCCTTCTGTTCTTTTCCATTCTGCTGAGACCATTGAGTTTTTAAATTTCTACATCAATTCTGAAATTTCCATTTGTTTCTTCTTTATATCCTCTATTTCTTTGCTAAGCCTTTCTATTTCTCAACTTTTTTTCAAGCATGGTCATATTTCCTCAACTAAAGCAATTTTGTGATGGCTACTTTAAAATCCTTGTCAGATAATTGCAGCATCTGTGTCATCTCAGTGTTGGTATCTGTTGATTGTTTTTCTCCTTCAGGTTTAGATTTCCCTGGCTCTTTATATGAGGGATTTTTTAATTGTACTCTGGATATTTTTCCAATTATATCATGAGACTCTGGATCTTACTTAAATCTTTCAGAAGATGAAGGGAGGAGTTGCTTAGTTATTGCTAAGTCGGGGTAGAAGTGCCATGTCCCTAGTTAGCCTCCGTTGGCTCCCTAGAGAAGGATGCTTAATTACTGCTGAGTGGAGGTGGGATTTAGGCTCCTCACTATTCATCCGCTGACATCACGCTGGCTGGCTGGGAAGGGGAAAGGCTCCTCTTCATGGCTATCTATGTGGCCTCCATTGGCACCACTGCCAGAAGAGAGGCCTCACTACCAGTGGATGATAGTGAAAGTTCTAGCTACCAACTCTGCCCTCCGACACAAACAGGGAAGAAGAGAAACGTCTGGATACCACTAGATGGGGCAGAAGAACAGGATTCTCACATGGCCTCCACTGACATCTTCCAGAGGGGCCTCATTCCCATCGAGTGAGAATAAAAATTCTAGCTCCCTGCTCAGTCTTCTCTGATAAGAAGTGTTCTCTCTCCTCCATAGTAGGGAGAGGGCACAGCAAAGTCAGAAGCTTGGACTCACCACTCAGCCTTTGCTATGGGAGTGAGGTTTGGCTATGGTTTTACATGGTATTTGCCTGGGGTGTGGCAATTATGATCTAAAAGTTTTCTGTCTTTCTAGGTTGCCCCTTTCCTGCTTCTTCAGCTAGAGAAAGCAAGCTTTTTCTAGAGAATTTTCTTTGTCTGCTGCCATTGGAGTTTCTGGGTTACTGGCTCATCCAGCAGCTAGATCTGGATATACAAAGCATAAAGAAAACCCAGAGAATTCACTGCCATTTTGTCCCTGAGGTCCCAAGCCCCAGACAATTTGCCTTCTCTCTACCTTTCGAAGTCCTCTTATGTTCGTTTTATATATAATTTCCAGGGGTTTTACTAATAGCTGTATTTAGTAGCTGGAAGTGAGAGAAGTATATCTATTCCATCTTGATCCCAAACCAGATGTTCCTAATCAATTTAAATACTAGGATTTCCTTTTCTGTAGGAGAAAATGGCTTTCCTCCCCCACTTGCCAGTTTTGCTTCTACTTGGCTTTCCCTTCCTAACTATGAGAGATTGGCTCAGGAACAATTCTTTTATTAAATAAACTCATGAGGTCACTACTACCAGCTGTGACAGTGTCTCAACCATTCCCGTGTCAGTAAAATTTTTCTGTAGCCATTTACACATGAGACATAGACATTAACAGCATATGTTGATTAAATTCTCAACATATGCTGATCAGTTTTTCAGACAGATATCCTGGTCTTTTTTGGCGCTACTGTTTTATTGAGACTTTCTATAATAAGTAATTAATCCAAACTTATTAATTGGCAATATTTTTAAAGCCAGATTTTCCAGTCTGTTCAGTCTATGGATTTCTGTCTTTGAATATCCCCTTTCTCCTCCCAAGCATTCCTATCTATCAGGCATCAATATCTGAGTGATTAAAATTGTTTGTTTTAGCCAGAGATACAGTTGGGAATGGAATTAACAATCATTAAGGGGTTGAATACACATTAAAGTTTGATATACGTTATTTAATTTATTCCTCAAAATAAAGACATGATATATATTTTACCAGTGATTTTTCAAGGTCACATACTTAGTAAAACCCAACCTGGGATGGAACTCCTACTGTAGGTATAGAACTATCTAGCAGTCCATGAACCGTTAATACATCATTAAATCAATTTAGTGGACAGCAAACATTTTCTTTAAAAGTGAAGGAGATCAGAGTAGAAAATGTCACCCAGCATTTCACATGGTAAGGGAAAGTACATTTAATGAAAATAAAAGTTTCTTTCTTTTACATATATTTATTAATCTAATATGTGCACTGAGTCCCAGTGAACAAAATATTATTCATAATGTAGCTGGCAGTCAAAGAAGTCTGGGACTAATGTGTTAGGTGACTTTCTGAGATATTTCTAAACCTTAACCTGAGAGACATTGTTTGTCATACCCACTGTGCTGGTCCTTTTCCAGGAAAACACATATCCCTCAAAAGCAAAATTTACTTTTTGAAGCCCCAAATTTGCAGTGAAAAATCTCTGGGATAGAAAAGAAAATATCTATTTCTATGGCAAATATTCATGCTAGCGTATAGCTCTTGCTGCCCATGATGTACGTGTGTGTGTGTGTGTGTGTGTGTGTGTGTGTGTGTGTGTGTTTCTGGTAAGAGTATATTGTGCCATTTGATTTTTTCCTCCTACTCACTGCAAAACTCTAGAACAAGGTGAAACCCAGTTCCACAATGAGACAAGAATTAGAAACTTAAAGTAACAAATAGAAATTAAACCCCAGTGGTTAAGAGGGCAGATTCTGGAGTTACACAGATACATTTCAAATCTAGGCTTTGTCACTCAGAACCCTGGGCAAGTTGCTACTTAATTTTCTTACCTGAAAAATAGTAATAATAGTAACAAGTAACTCGCTGTGATGATGTTGAATTAAAATGAGGTATACATGTAACGGCATTATCAAAGTATTTGCCTTACAACGGAAAGTTAATAACTGTTAGCTATTAGTCTATTACTTCTGAAGTAAGACATTTACAGAAACCAATAATTCCAGAAGAATTCTTGAACTGTTATAGGCAGTAAATGAACTGTTTTGCTTTCTTGTTAGACTTGTTAAATTGCCCTTTTCTCAGAATTTACTAAACAATGAATTAACATTGTCCATGTTTTATATTGTAAATAATTGTTGGCTGATTTTAAATAGAAGAAAAGGAGAAGAAAATCATGTTTTCTTAATCTTTGTCTCTTTAAATTCAAACAGCCATGTCTGTACAAACCAGTCCTCCCCATAATCTGTCTAATTCTAGTTTAACTGACATAACTTTGTGGGTTGAAGTTAAGAGCCAGAAATTATATAACAAAGCTGGATTTCTACATTGAGGTACAAACCCCAAAAGCTGGCACTCCTAAATAGAGTGTTTTGAAAATGACTCAGACACCTCAGTGTATCTTGATGAAAGGAATTTTGATATTGCAGGATGACCTGGAACCACCCATGTTCCCGATACAGAAGGGCTCCCTGAACCTCCTGAGGCAGAAATGGGAATCCAGTGATTACCAGAGGAGTGAGTGCTGTCCAGGGGCCAGTCGTAGAACGCCTCTCCAGGCTCGGGGAAGCAAATTGCTTGAGCCTGAAGGAGAGGCAATATCAGCACCTGAACCTCCAGATCCCCTGAGTCTGCCCTGCAGTGCAGGGGAAGAGACGTTGAGCTCAAAGCCTGAAGAGAAGTGTCCTGAGGAAAAGAGCGACAGCTCCAGGGAATATGGCCCACCTGAAGTGCTGAAAGAGGATTCCCTGAGTGGTCGACGCAGGATTGAGCACTTCTCCATCGCCCTTGATGAGCTGAGGAGTGTGTTTGAGGCTCCTAAGAGTAGAAACAGACCAGCTGGACCAGCTGAGTATGGCAGGAAGGTAAGGAGCCATTGATCGAGCATCTAAGTTTACAGTTGACAAGCTAGGCAGCTTGTCTAGCCTGCCATTTATTTCCTATCATGTAATTTTTCCCCTCACCTACACTCTAAGCAGATGTCCTGAAGCAATCATGCCATGTGGGTTGAAATGCAGCATCCTCTCATTAATTTCCTCTATGATCTGTTTCAGTGTGGACTTGACCTCTTTTCACGCCCACAAAAACAATTCTGATATGCCCTCTTATGCTGATGTTTCTTTATGTATGTGCCTTGTTTCCATAACTAGGTTGTAAATTCCTCGGAGGTAGGGACAATTTCTAACCACTCTTTGTACCTCAAACATCTAACAGTGTTGCTTTTAGCCAGGGTTCAGTGAGGACTTATCTGTAATGATGATGAAATGGAACAAAGGAAGACTTCAGAACCACAGTGATGTAGGTTTTAATCCTAAAACCTGCCATTTACTTCTCTAGTTGAATGACAACCTTGGAAATACAATCGTCTTAATCAGCTACTTTACAGGGATCTTATAAAGATGATAGATAATATATTTAAACCACTAAGTGTAGAGTCTGGAATATTTTGTGGTAGATGATGATCATGCTTCAGTGATTATGGTGTACTATAACATCACATATAAAAATGTCTATTAGCTAAAGAGGGCATTTAATCAAATGCAGGAAACAGGATTAGCAACATTATTAACTAGGACTGTATTTATACTTCTGTTGTCAATTAAAAGCAACTACTGTTTCAACTGGAGTTACTTGAATTTATGATACTCATTAAGGCCCCTACCTAAGAGAGATTACAGTTGAATTGTATAAAGAATTAATAAATGATCTGAAGTTTTCCATTGGGAAGCAAACTTCGTACTTTATTATTTTTTTCACCTAATGACAGTTATCAGGAAGATACACAGTCCTACTCTTGTTAATGGATAATTAGCCTTCACAGAAGACATCACAGACATAGAAAATTTAAAAAAATGATTTTGCTAATACTTGTTCCCACTTTTCCTATTGGGACAGATATAGTAGTCTATCCTTCTTGAACATCAAGTGACTCTAATTGGTTTAATGAGAATAAAGGATATGAAGTTATATTTAGGAGGTTATGTTGAGAATAGAGAATCTCTCAAAAAATGCAACTACTTGCTGATTACCGATTTAAGGCTTTTCTTTTCCTCTTTTTTATTCCAAAGTTATAATCTTTTTTTGTACTTTTTTATGTCTTTTATTTGGATAGTTAGGGATTAGGATACACTCAACATAGATATTTACAATGTCATTTATTTTTAATCTTTATAAATTAAAAGTAAAGACACAGAAAATAAGTTTCCATTCAATCTCTGTTGACTTTAGTGTAACCATTTTGAACATTTAATTGACAAAAGAAATAGACGAAGGTAGAAAAACGCATCCATGTAAATTATATAATATAACCTATTCTCATCTGGATGAGATGTAGCTGCTTAAATGCAATAGTAAGAAAATAAAGCATTAATTAGATTTTTCTAGTTTAAATGTGAGATTACTACTATTCAGAATGGCCTTCAAAAGATGTTTACATCCTAATCCCAGAATGTGTAAGTGTGTTATCTCACATATCAAAAGGAACATTGCAAAGGTTATTAGGTTAAGAATCTTGACATGCAAAGACTTTCCTGAATTATCCCAGATAAAAACTGGGTTTGTATAAGAGGGTCACAGGAATGTCAGAGAGAGAGTGAGTCAAAGAAGGAGCTATGATGGCCAAAACAGAGGTTGGAGTGAGGTGGGGCACGACCCAAGGAATGTGGCAGCACCTGGAAGAAAAGGCAAGGAAACCTTCTTCCCAATGGCCTGCATGAGGAACACAGCCCCGTGGACACCGGCAGGTTACAAACTGATTTCCGAATCTGCCCTCCAGAATAGTAAAATAATAAATGTGTTGTTTTAAACAAATACATTCATGGCAATTTGTTACAGCAGCAATAGGAAACTAATACAGTTACATCGTAGGCTCTTTAAACATTCTTAAAAAATGGTTGGGGAATATATGATTGTGGAGTTTTCCTCTGTTCTTCCCTGATGAATATATACCCATATTTCAAAATCTGGTATTTGACTTTTTTCTATTTGTAGTTGATGATATAAATGCTTGTAATATTATGTAATCAAGGTACATTAATAAATCTTAATATGTCTTAGTTTTAGATGATCCGTATTGATAGTCACCTAAAAGGGTGAATTTATCAGAAGAAGCTTGTTAAAAAAAAATAAAGAAGAAGAAAGAAAGGAAGGAATATTAGAAAGGAATATATAAACACAAAAAGCATGTGGGATGCATTTGCTTCAATCCATATTTTCTTCTATGGGTGATATAGATTATGTGGAATATAAATACAATTTTTATATAAAATGAACTTAACTCTGGCCACTCCATTCCGAGTGGAAGCATTGTTTAAGTACTTTGGAACAGAACAGGAAGGTATAAGCTCCTTCTTCTTTGAAGCTGCCAGTTGCTGTCCACAGGACTGAAAGAGGGAGGCCACCAAAAACTCTCCCTAAAGGATCCCTTCAGCCTTCAGTATGTTCCCACTGTTAATAAGGGGTTTCATGACTCAACCACATAATTAATCTGGCCTTTATTCCGTTCATGTCTTTTTTACTTTAAATGATAAACAATTTTATTGTCATAGTAGATTACTTAAGGACTTCCTGTGCTTTCAACACGCGTTTATAATTCTTCCCCCAAATCCCACTCACATATAATCAGCTTGTGCTTACACAATTCTCAACAGAGACTGTGTCTATCATTTACACAGTCCACAGGCTTTAGGGGCTTGTGTAACACCATTGAATACCTGTGAATACCATTCAAACATGAGCTGAACTTGATCAAAAATAGGAAGTGCCATCACCAAATGTGCTACCTCAGAATGCATTGATTTGATCTATTGCATAATTGGAGGCTTGGAGATAATCATGAAGGCACAAAGCTAAGGGACTATGAACCTACATATGTATCAATGATTAAACAGGGTATAAATAATTAAAGATGCTATAGTTTCCAGCATATGTTAGACTCATTCACTCCAATAATAAGAGCCTCTGGTTTTTCGTTTAATGACCAATCTGTATCTACTTTAAGTCCTGCATAAAATCAGGCATTCTAAAGCACAGGTGAATCATGGCTTACAGTTTGCCTTCCAATACAAAATCACTTCATTAGATGTCTGAATTTATCTTTGCTCCTTAAACCCAGGCATATGGGGACCCAGGGATTAATTTATCTCCAATCTCAGTGCAGCAAGCAGTACTCCTTCGCAGGCAGTTACCTCTGTCAGAGCCTTCTGACACTCCATCCCCCACCCTCCCCTCTCATCAGAGTTTCCAAGATAACTTCTGTCAAGCATGATGTATTTTGTGAAAGTGTTTAACAGCACAGAGGTTATTAAAATCTTGAAAATGATTACAGAAAAATCTGTCCACCAAATTCTCAAAAATACGGAAAAGAAATTAAAATAAAGATTAATATTAGTATAGAGAAAAATAAAATAAAATTCTTTCCATGGGAAGAGCTTTAGAGATCTTCGAAGCAATAAAATATTTTTCCTTTGCCTGACAAGATGGGCAGAATAGTTTTTTATAGCACTTAAGTGATAGTTTAATGAAGAAGATCACTACTTTTGTTGTTAGAAAATATATTATATGGAATAATAAACTTCACTGCAGTATCACATATAAGAGCAAAATATTTGGTGACAAAGGGTCAGTTGGAAACCTTGGCTCAGAAACTTATTCATTGTATAAACTTGAATGAGCTATTTTAACTCATTAATCCTTAGTTTTCATATCCATAAAATAGGGATATTAATACACCATAGAACTTTTGTGGAGACAAAATGATATAACGCCTGAATGAGAGAAGGCATTTAAGAAGAAGCACCTAATGAAATTTAAGAAGTAGCACCAAATTAATATTTCTTATATTTTCTCTTCTCTCACTACATGTCCTTGGGGAAAAATATTTAATCTCAATAGACTTCTGTTTTATCATATATAAGGGAAGAGGCTTACACTTTATGGTTTCTAAAAGTGGAAAGGTGCTTTGGGCAAAGAAAGTTGTATTTCACATCTGACAACACCTTATTCTTGCAGCCGACAAGCGTCCCACTGAGAAGAGCTCTCACTGAATAGTCAGTAAAGCACATGCTGATGAAGATTTCCAATATGAATTATTAATACAACCCCATTTTGAGATGATGAGACAAAGAACTACAATTTGTTAAATTATAGTTTTCAACACTTTATTAAAACCTTACACAAAGATATGCCTGCTACTTTCATTATTTTTTCCAATTAGTAGAAAAAGTCAGCAGCATTCAGCTACTCAAAATTCAAAATCCAACCGAGGTGAGACATGGTTTAAAAGTAGTTTTTATATTTAATATTTATCCACACATGCACCACACATGTACAAACACACATACAAATACAAAGAACAAATTAAACTTAGACCTCAAGGATACCACGAGAATGGCCATAATGATTTTTTTATTTTATGCATGTTTCTCCTTGTGATATAATTAGTTTTTTAAAATAACGTTAGTGTTCTTTGGTTGTTCTTTTCCCCACTTATATGTCTGTTATTTTACTGCTGCCTGTCCTGTGTTTTATTTTAGTTGGAAAAAACATAGCTGGCAAAATTCCCAACCAAACGCATTTGCATGGCCTTTAAGACTTTTGGAGGGAACAGCCATCTTGTCCCATTTGTGTGTCACAGTGATATATGCAGTCACAAAATGACATCATTAAAGAATGTAGTGCCAGTAACCACAGGAAGATGTGAAGCGATACTGACTCAGCTCCAACTGGGAAAACTGCTGTCAGTTCATGGATTGGCATTCTTTGACATTTTACTCGGTAGCCTTGTGAGGGTTTTCACCCTTGTGTTATAAGAATATTGATACTAGCTCTGTTGCCTCTGTTGGGAGCCCGATTCCGTCACACACAC